TCTCTTTCAGTTTAAAGCCATTGCCCCTTGTCCTATCACTACACACCCTTGTAAAAAGTCCCTCCCCAGCTTTCCTGTAGGCCCCCTGTAAGTACTGGAAGAACTATCCTAAGAGGGAAGAGCAGAACCAACACTGTATCTCTGTTGCAATCCTGAAAGGCAAAATATCCCTGCTGCTGCTTAAGCACTCCCCCCTGCAAAGAAAACGAGCCCTTTGGTGTTCCCCGGGGCCTGCAGCCCCAGCGCTGTCGTACGTGGCACAGAGCTTGCTTTATGCAGAGACCTCGAACAGAGCTGCTCCTGTGCTCCACTCCGATGCTTTTAACTGGTAGAAGTGACGTTCAGAGTACTAGTGCACAAATAATAGTTGTGGCTGCTTGTGTTTTTACATAGCATGTCATCTACTTTGTACGTGGTGGATTTGGATGAAAACATTCTGCTGCAGCCTCCTGCAGCTCTGTCAGTACTGCTGAAACTATTGCAAGCTCAGTAGTGGAAAACTTGAGAAAAATGAGAGGGTTTTATGTACTAACCTTCATTAAAAGCGAAATTGTTCCTGTTAGCAATAGGAGTTTACGTTTCCTGGCATTCATCGTTTGAAAAGCTGTAATAAAGATGTACTTCCAGTTTTGTTCAGTTTTGTTCTGATTCAGCTGTGTTTTAGCAGAAGTCAGAAGCACTTGCTGAGTCAGGTCTGCTCTGGTGCTAACCAGGGTGTAGTTACAAACAGTAGGCTGGGGTGAGTGAGAGCAGAGCAGTTGCCTGCTTCTTATGTTGGAATTGATTGTTCTGCTAAATGCGGATAATGGGCCACAGGCCTAGTACTTGGTATAAAATATTTAATGAGCAAGCGCCTGTTCTGATGGGCTTGTGTATTTTCTCTGCTCATGGAAGTTTTTCTCGTATCTAGGCTGGCAGCTAAGTTCTGTCCATGAAATAGGTAAAGGGTGTGATGTTTGAAAGTGAAAGACAGTGTCATGTCACAGCCCAAGAGGGTGTTTTTATCTAATGTGATTTGAGTAGCTTTGATGTTAAAATGTTGTGTAGTGAAAAAGACATGAGTGGGGATTTTCTGCCTAGTTTCAAGCCGAGAGAGAGCTGGGCCATACCAGTAACAGAAGCCTTAGCAGTGGTAAGCTAGAACTGTGTGTTATGTTAACCTGTATTTAGGCATGCAAGGATGTGCTCTCAGTCTAAAACCTGTAATATCACTGGAATTAGGTCAAATTCCTTAAGTTTCGTGCTGCATCTGTGTTGCCTACAGTGTGGTTTGTGTCTCGTCTCCCAGCAGAAGAAAGCAAGCGATCTCGAGCTTGACTGAGAAACACAAAAAATCTTAATGGCAGCCTCGTACATGGCGTACTGACCTCTCAGTAGCCTGACTGTCCAGTGCTAAAGCAGGCTAACTGTGCAGGAATTCAGGAGAGTGGCAGTGCAGATCTGCTTTAAAAGGAAGGTTACCGTGTCCAGAAATCCCCCCTGGCAGCAAAGCTTTGTGAGTCCGGGATGGATGGTGCTGGTTCTTAATTTCTAGCAGCGGTAGAGCTTCTGTGCTTGCTTGCATGGGAGGCTCTAATGCTACTTCTCTTTTCCCAAAGCTAGCTGATCCGGTTGTCTCCTCCCCTCCTCAGCATTTGTATAGAAATAAATTACTAGGTAGAAAAGGATCCATACAGAAAATCCTTTATAGCCACTTTCCAGCAAAAATCTTTTTGAAACACAACTCAATTTTGTTACTACAATGCCTCGTCTTAACTGTTTGTTTACACAGAGACATTCAACCAGTCAGTTGAATCAGTTTAAAAACTGATTTAAGTAAACTGTTGCCAAGTATCTTTTTCATGTCTATTTACAGGTTTAAAACAAGTGAGTTCTATTTCGCTGGAAACTTTTCTGGCCAGTTTTATTTAAGAATGCTTGCAGACAAAGTTGTATGTGTTTGGCTATACAATTTAGCTAGAGTGTGATTTTTAAATTGGCATTGCTTTGCATTTTATACCAATTCTCATTTATACCGTATGTCTCCCTGCCAAGAAACCTGCTTCCACTCTACAGATAGACTCACCACATTCTTTTATTCCCCACTGTAATGTGAACGAAGTAAAATTACGCTGGAGATGTCCATGTTAGGATAGTTACAAATTTCCTTTTTAAAACTTTTCAAAAAAAGTCTTAACTCAAAAAACACAGAATATGAACTTTGGCTACTACTTGAAATTTTCACGGTTTGATGAAAAGCCGGGTGGGGGAGCATTTAAAAAAATCCCCTTGGCAGTCTTCCACCCAGAAGTTTTTTTAAGCTGCTTCTTGTAAGAGATTTTAAACAGTTACTGATTTGTATATCTTCCTTCTTTCATCCATTACAGTGATAACTGACTGTCGCCAGATGGAAGGTAAACTAGCACCAGCCAGATTTTGTAGGTGAAGTTAGTGTTTGTCTGGAGCTCTCAGGGATGTTACAGTAGACACAAAACATGTGCATATAGTGATGATGCTCCAACGTTTGCCAGTTACAGCAGGATATAGTCTCTGTCTTGGGGTACCTGTGATGGTTCTCCCCCTGAAAGATCGCCCCGACTGTAACAAGGAGAAAAAGCAGAGGAGAAGAACGTAACGTAGCCAGGAATGAGCCTGAGCAGTGGTCGGTCTCCTGAGAAATACCAGGGCCCCCCACTTTATTCAGTGCCTTCTCCCTGGTCTGGTGTGTTCCTCGGATACCGGGCAGCTGAACTGATCCTTCTTTGTGGCAGTCGAGCTTGGAGTGGCTTTCCGGGGCTGAAGCCAATATTCCTGTGTTTAAAGTGAGCTCTGAGACAAGAATGCTGCTGACCGCTCCGAGTGTCCTCTAGCGCACGGACAGACAGATGAATAGCCTTGCAGAGCCGCTGGGCTCACCCTCCTGGCAGCAAAAATACATCATCAGAACCCTCATGTTTGCAGTTACGCATCCTGAAAAATCTCAGCTATTTTTTGTGACATTGTGGGCCCTCTTCTAGCAGAATCAAAGGAAGGTAACATTTTTTTTGACTGCTAACTGTAGAAAACCTTAAGCTTCCTTTTTATTGCTTCACAGAAAAGTCTGTCCGGTCTCTTGACCTGTAGCCAGCTTCCTTTGTTCTTTACTAAGCACAGGCTTGCTAATTATTCTTAGTTGTTTTGTTCGGTAGCCAACGCCTGCAGTAACAGCGGTTTGTTCCACTGTACCCCATTCCACATACCAGAATTGTAGCACTTGGATGATCTCTCCTAGAACCATCTAGTATTTAAACTATATTACTAGCGTAATTTCACTATTTGACATAAAACTATATTAATATATTTGCACAAGAGTAATGCACACGCTGTAATGTGCATTTGACGAGCCAAGGTAAATTGGGTGTTACAGCAGGGAATCAGAAGAAAAGGGCACGGGGATTTACTCCTGGGTAAACAGACCATCTCTGCTTTCTCTCTGGCTGGGAAGATACATTCACAACTGCCAAATAAATTTGGTAATCAATGGTAGAATTTAAACTGGGTTGCTGTAGGTGATACTCTAGAGCTACTGCAGGGAAAATACAATAAATCTTCCAGACCTTATCTACTAGAGAAATTTACCACCGGAAGAAATAATTGATGTCCTAAGCATGACTGTAGGGCACAGAAATACTCTGATGTGACAGGTATTGATTGGCTTAATGTTGTCTTCAGCATGGCTAAGTATTATTATCTCAAACTAAGTATTTGCAGTTTATTAACATTGTAGAACCAGTATAGTTGAATGGGTGAAAATACCGTGTTGCTCCCTGCGTGGTTTGCTGGCTTCTTAAGGTATCGCCACTGTTAAGAAATCTGAGGCAGTATCTGTGCAGGTGGTATTTAGAAGCATTAATACTAAAAAAGTTTTAGAATACCAGTAATATTGTTAACTGTTGTCATTCTGCCCCAGTATGTGTGCTGCAGGGATTCGATATGATGGATACAAGCATAACCAATTTACTTAGAAATAGTTGCTTGTAATTATGACAGTGACCATGCGTGGTTTCTAGCAGCTGGATGTCCATCTGTCCCTTGGAACTGGGGTTCCCCTGCAGTAACGTGCAGGTGAGAGTTACCCTTCTACTGTCCTGGAGACAGGACTTTGATTCTTGTTTAGACAAGTAAACCTCTTCAAACAGAGCACAGCTCCAGTCGGTTTTGTCCAACAAAAAGAGCAGGCTCTGTAAAACACTTGTTGGCCTTGATGGGCCGTGGTTGTTTTCCAGACTATTTGAGGATGTGTGACATCATGCAGGTCTGTAACAGGAGTTGTGTTGTTTTTCCCAAAGTTGGTATCTTGGGATCTGCTGGCTTTGGCACTTCCATCCAGCATCTTTTACTTTGTGAGAGATTCATGTCGTACTACCTCCACTTTCCCAGCTATGGCACCGTCTTTGCTGAATGTGTTACCTGTTTCTTTCACATGAATTGTGGCAAGAAATGACAGAACTGATTAGTGTTTTATTAATTAGCTACTCTGAAGAAAATTAACTCTAGCCCAGCCAAAACCAGCTCATTCTGTTAAACAAAAAATATCTTTAGAAGCCTATATCTACTAAATTGAGAGTGCGATACCGTGTTTTACCTTGGCTCACAGGTGATAGATTAATCTTGCAACTAAAACAGCTGGGATTTAGATGAAATGCAGTTAGAAAAGTTTTGAGATTGTGGTGGGTGAGCGGATACTTGGTTGCTGAAATGCTCTTGTTCAGTTCTTTAATGTAGTTCTTCCCTAATTATACCTGTCAACAACACATAGTTTAAAATCGTCATTTTTAGCTGTGTGTAAAGGTTGCTGTGCAAAACCTCAAGTGAAAGCTTAATAAAACTTCTCATTTAAAAAAGTAATTTACTGACATCAATACTGTTTACTAAAAATAGATTAATTTTAAGAAACAGAGGTAGCCTTTGAAGGATTCTCACTTGTGGAATGCTGCATTATTATTGTATCTTGATACATGTTTCTCTTATTTTTGGTAGAAAATGATGCACCCTGTTGCCAGCAGTAATACAGCTTTCTGCGGGACTGGCAAGAGTTCTTGCCTGAACGAAGACAATGTGAGATCTGCTGACCAGTTCGATTTGTACGCCACGCAGCCGAGCAAATACAGCCACACAGTCAGCCACAAACCCATTGCATGCCAGAGACAGGATGCGCTGAACGACTCGCACTTGCAGACCACGAGTGGCAGGAATATAGAGACAAAAGACGAACTAAAGAAAAAGAAAAACCTCAACCGATCTGGTAAACGTGGAAGGCCATCAGGGACCACAAAATCGGCGGGGTACCGCACCAGCACAGGTCGACCCCTGGGGACCACCAAAGCAGCTGGATTTAAGACAAGTCCAGGCAGACCCTTGGGCACGACTAAAGCAGCAGGATACAAAGTCAGCCCAGGCAGACCTCCAGGTAGCATTAAAGCTCTCTCACGGCTTGCAAATCTAAGTTATACTTGTGGCAGTGCAGCTTTTCCCTATCCCATGGTGCATAACAGAGGAATTCATGCTGCTGGTGAAACTAGTAGCAAAATCAAACAGCCTAATGAATGAAAGGAGGGAATTAGTAACTCCTTACTAATCCGCTTTACTCGAATTTTGGCATGTTTCTTGCGTTTTGTTGTAGTGTTTGCCTAAGTCTGAGTTTCTAGATTTTATTTTTGTTCAAATAATGCCATAGCCTACGGGTGCAATTCGGTAACTTTTAAAGCAGTGTCGAGAAGGCGCTGGTTTAAAGGGGGTTTTGTTGGTTTAAAATCATAATTTATAAGAAAGTCTGAAGTGATGCATTATGCCTTGGTGTCGACACTTAAGTAATGTCCATGTCCCTAGTTTTACGTTCAGTGACTGGTAAATCTAGTTGTGTGGTGATGCTTTAAATGATTGAAGTAAGGAGGACAGAATTAGCTGGCTGTTGGTTCATCGTGTGGCCTGTCCCACAGTAAGGAGCTTAGCCAAATGAGTTCTTACTTGGTAAGAAAAATTGATAAAGAAAGCAGCAAGTTCCATTTTCCACTTGTGCAGGAGCTTCTACAGACCTCAACTAGAGACTTAAAAAACTAACGAAAAAACCCCAACCTTTTTCTAAAAGTGCAGACTTCAGGTGGCTTTTGTTTCTGGAGTTGTAGCATTAAGTCAATTTCAAGTAATGCTCCAAAAATATTTTTGAGAGTATTAAAGAAAACTGAGCGTTCCTGCAGTGCTTTCCAGCTTCACAGTTGGAAATTTAATTATTAATTAATTTAATTATTAATACAAGCTAATTTGCCTTTAGGTGAGAGCCGTTCTTTTAGTTATGCTGTCACAGGATTGTGCTGTGTAATTTCGAAATGCCTAATAGCACATATACCAAACCACAAATAATTCTTTGAAATTTGAAATATTTTATAAGAAATTAAGTATTGTTCATTGGAGTTACGCACTTGGTTAACATTCAAGTTTGTTCTTAAATCTGTAAATAGCTGTTTACACTGTTTTTTGCCTTTCAAATCCGCGCTTAGGTGGCGACAGTTTAATAGCTTTTAAAGTATTAATCTCTAATGTTTACAAATTAAACTTTTTAAACAGACACTGTTGCCAAGTTTTCAGACTTAGTTTTGCCAGATATTCCTGGCAATACAGTTATTTCGTTGTTTGACACTTGTGCTATATTTAAGTTATGGAAGCTTATATATCTACCAAAGGACACCATTTTCATGATTTATAAAAGCAAACTGTATAGCTGATGCAAACAGGATGCAGTTTACTGCACTGCTAGACCCCAGATATAAAGTAATTCATCTATGCATGCAAGCTGAAAAAAAATGTTGGTTAACTATAAATACCTTTCTTGACTCGAACTAAAACCTTCCCTCCTTCCAAAAGAAATGTTCCATTTTTCAACTGGGTGTGTTTAATTTTTTTTTTAAGTGTGAGAGAGTGTGTGAGTGTGTGCATAAAATACTTTAATCTAGACTTCAAAAAAATTAGTCCTCAATGTTGCATATTGTTTGTTCTAAGTTTATTTTACTGGAATTAAAGCTTTTTTTTTTCCCACCTGAAGCAAGTTTATGTTTAAGTTGTTTCACGTATAATATGACATTATGATAAATTTGTAGCTTCAAATATCTGGTGGTGGGGAATATATAGAGTTTGCAGATCTGGGGGAGCAGAAAAATTTGGGTTAATTGAGCTTTTGTTGAATGAGTAATGGTGCTGATGATTTTTGTTAACATAAATGCTATTCTGGTCTGCTGTGATTTTGATGAGAACACTTGATTGCAGTGATGACAGCTTAAGAAACGGATGTCATGTTTCATACCTTTCTTATCAGGAAAAAAGCAGCAAGCCTTCAGGTGTTCCAGTGATGCCTAACACATGTTGAGCTGGACTTTGTGCTGTACGTTAGGCGTGTTCGGTTGGTTTGGGGAACTGTGTATGCACTGGCAACTCAGACAGTGAACCTCAGCTGTACTGGATGGCTCCTTAGTCGATAGGTGAGCTAATGGCAGCTAAACTGCTACTAAAAAAGAGTTTTCTTCGTGCTGAAGCTACGAAATCCAGTTGTACTTTCTGTTCCTCAACAAACTCTGAAATTCAGCAATCTTTCTCAGAACGCTGTAACTTCTGACACACGCAAAATGCTAACGTGAGTTAATTCACCCTCAGGATCTGTGCTGGATTGGCTGTTTTTAATCAGATGGTTTTTCAGCAAAAGACTGCTTTAAGTTCTTTCCTGAACTCAGCTGGGAAAGCCGTCCCCTCCAGCTGAATGTCGTGACTGCAGGAGTGTCACACCTCGCCGGCAAGGAACGTGTTGCATGTCACCACTGTCCCTTGGAGAAACTCCGCTCCTTACCTCCTCCTGTTTGCTCCTGCTCCGTTTCTCACTGTGCATCGGCTCAGCGGTGCTGTGCTGCGTGTCAGGAGATCATGCAGACGTGTTGCTGTTCTGCTAGTTTGATGAATTTTGTATTCGAGTATGCTGATGAAATAAGGAAATCATCTAAGCGATTTCTGTTTGTTACAGTGCTTATTAATTATATCAGATGGAATAGAATCCCAGTAAAAACCCATTAACGTTGTTCATGGTGAAATGATGAGCATAAAGTAGCAAAGTGTTCAGAGAGTTGGTAATGGGCTGCTTGGCACTCTAGATTTAGCAAGGAAACCAGAAGTGCACTGCTGGGCATCTCCTAATCCTGGTTTATTCCATATCTGACCATGTTCACTGGTGCCACACAGCAAGGGGAAGAAAAAGGAAGTTAAAGAGATTCAAAGTGAACTAGAAATGGAATTTTGAAATACTTCTGCTTTTCCTGTGTATAATCTGCAGGATACATTGTGCTTTATTCAACACTTTTCCTCCCATGAGAAACACTGAAACAGCATGTTACTGCCTAAACCATTAGTACCGATGGGAAAACTGGCCTTTTCCCCCATAGTATGAAAACGTTACTTACTTGTAAGGTAAATTGCTTATTTTATATTATATCTCATAATTCAGCTACTCGTAGGATCACTGTTGTGTGGTAACACTGTTCAGAAGATCTACATGTCAAGTTTGGTTTTTAATAATTTCTTTTTAATTATCAAGTTTCTAACATCTTATTTATACATAAATGAAATGTATTAGCTTGCTGTTACTCCTTAATGATGCTATACAAGCTCACTGTTTAATATATGTATAGTAACTACTACTCAGTTTCTGATTAAATTTACTTAAACTTTAAAACCAAATAATTTTGCTACTATAAAGTCTTGCACTGGACATATTCAAGATGCTAGCATCATATTTTGGCAGAAGAAAATCAGAAACCATCAGAAGTGGCTGACTGATATCAAAGACAGTATTTTTAAAGTCAGCAGTTAGCTTTGTCGTTAGAGCAATGTTCTTTATATCTCAAATTTCGTTTTAAACTAATCAAAATGACTGTGTATCAAGAGCCATTCAAGATCTCTGTTCTGAATGAATATATTTTCATTTTGTCTGAAAGACCTTAAGAGTTCGGTCAGGACAAAGCCAAGCCTTGTCAGTGAAAAGTGATGTGTCTGTGAAAAGAATTACTTGGAATTGCCGTACACAGAGTAATTCCGATGAGAATTTCACCCCCTCCCGTTTTTGAAGAGCTTTAAAAGGCAGAGCAATGTGAAGTCATTTGTCCGATGGTTTCATTAGCTGTGACTCTGCTGTTCTTTGTTACGTGTGTAAAAACTTTCATGCTATCCTTCGAGCTGGCAGTTAAAACAGTTGGTAACAATCAGAAATACTTTGAACTACAGACTTCATTTCTGACCACAAAAATTTATTCTTCTCTATTTTAACGCATATATTTTAACACTGCTTAAATATATTTATGACTTTAGTAGAGACTAGACCTTTCTCCTTGTGATTTTTTTTTTTTCCAATAGAAAAATCTGTATTCTGAAATTTGAACCACTTTCTGATACTTTACTCTTTCATCATTTGCTTTTCCACAGGTTTACTTTGGGGGAAACAGTAATCTGTTAAATGACTAGTATCAGCACCCCATCCTCTGCTGTAAAAAGCCTGATTAGATACTGTGTATGTTTTTATGTCCATGAACTTGAGCTACTCGTGTGCAATTATGTGTATGGGAATGGAGTAGTGTTCATGATCTGTATTTACATCATCATATGGATGTATATTTATTAATAAAGTTAATACTTTAAAGCCTAACAATTTTTTCTCTGGACTTTTTTTTAGTAGCTTTTTAATTCTGTCTGAAGATGCCTGCAGACAGCGTTACCAGACCAGTAGCCTTAGCTCTTCTCTCTTGAAAATGGAAGTGCTGTTTGTTCTCCTGGTGTCTCAGCCATAGTTGAATGATTCAAACTGGCACTGAAATGTTTTGGTACATCTTGTGCAGATTTCACTTACGATCCGGCGCTGGCTGTTTGTCCCTCGCCTCCCTGAAGTGTCATTGAGTCTGACTACAGCAGGCTGAGTGTGTTCATCCCTGCATGGAGTTCGGGATGCACACAGGGTTTCTGAGGGTTGCATTATTTTTAAAAGGAATCAGTAAGTTCACCCTTCTGGTGTGCTTTGCTCTCTGGGTTTCAGCGTGAGGTGTGTATGGCTTGTTACAGGCAAGTCACACATATTTGAATTAAGACAAAAAGCCTGTGTGAATTGCAGCCTATCAGAAAATAGAGGAACGTTGCTTATTTTTTAATGAATTGAAAATGCTGCTACAGTAACTTAATTGTTCTTATTCCTTCACTCAGATATGAGAAGAGGGGAGGAAAGGAGTTGTAGCTATGTATGTATAAATAGTAAGCTGCTGACTTTTTTTTTTCTCTGTTGCACATGGAAATGAATTTTAGAGTACTCATAAACTAAACTTTTCATGGAATGGTGGTCGTTATTCATTATGCTGTGATGAGTAAGATGTAGTTATCCCTGTATTCTAGCAATATTCCAGTTTATCTTTGGTGGTAAGATGAGCTCTATGTACTACCCAACCTTTTTTTATTTTTTTTTTTTCTCTCTCCTCTGCTGAAGTTTTTCCCTAAGTTCAGGAGAAGCTGAAATACCAGAAGCTGCAAGCTAGACTGCTAGGTGTGTGTCCTCCCCGTGCTCTCCAGCACCCTCTGTTTTCTCTTCCATGTACTTTCAAAGGCTCTGAATATATCTAGCCTTGAAATGCTTTAAATGTCAGTTGCAGTTATTTTGCAGGCTTTTGAGTTGCTTTTACCCGAAAAAGACATCTGATGCCTGTTTTGTTGTTATTGTTGTTGGGCATTCTGGTAATTCTAAATATTTGGCTTTCAAGGTGACCGGGTGTGTTCAGAACAGAGCTGAACTCCAGTCTTGTATGTCCTGATCTAAAAATCAGTTCCTGGATGTGATTCCTCGAGCAAAATGGATAATGTTCTTGGTTGTAATGAAACCTTATATTGGATATTAGGAAGAAATTCTTCCCTCTGAGGGTGGTGAGGCACTGGAATAGGTTTCCCAGAGAAGCTGTGGCTGCCCCATCCCTGGCAGTGTTCAAGGCCAGGCTGGATGAGGCTTTGAGCAACCTGGTGTAGTGGAGGGTGTAGCTGAGGTCCCTTCCAAGCCAAACCGTTCTGTGATTCTATAGTAAGTCGATCATAAATTACATCACACAAGAATACAGGCTTTCCAGCTGTGTGGGAAGTTGCTTGGCTGCTTCCATGGCTGCTGTGTTCCCTGCCATGTCAGGAACTGAACTATGAACGTGGCACCGCAGCCTGTCCCCTTGATACCCAGTTGGTGTGCGAGGCCAGGGGCCAGTTTAATTTATTCTGCAGACAGATGAACAGTGTCAGGGTGTCAGCTATGCAAGCTGGACATCTCGAAGGAGCCTTCAAGATGGTTGTATCTTTTAATAATTTCATTTACGTGTATGATGAGACTCCAGAGCTTCCTCTGGGACTGGATTGGTGTTTTTATGGTTTTGTACCTCTTTGGTGTCAACTCTTCAAGTAGCACAACTAGTACAGTATGAACTGGTGATACTGTACCTAGTAAATATGCCGGCTCTACAGAGTGTGGTTTTGGACCAAGACAAATGAAATTGTTCTTGACAGTTAATCATTTAAAGCTGTGATGCCTGAAAGTAAAGGGCTGGCTCGCTGCCTTGCATGGCATACTGTTTTTATCTGGGTTCTGCCTGTGGCTCCATGTTTATTGCTTAACATTTAAGAGAGGTGTGGCCTGACCATAAAGAATTGCAAGCCCAAAAGCTGCAGCTGGCTGTGGCCCAGGCTCCCTGCATGGCCTCGGGAGGGCAACGTCTCTTCTTTGCCATCAGCAAAAACGTGGCAAAAATATCTGCTTGTCTTGCAGGGGTGCTGGAAGGAATCGTTAGTGAACAACTTTTAACTGCTTTGAAGCTGAGGAACGTTGTGGAATTCTTACGTCTTGTTCAAATGATCTGAGGCAGGTAAATCTTTCTGCCTTTCATGTTGTTCTTCTCATACCGCAAAAGCTAATTAGTGAAAAAAATCACAGTAACAATTAGTGCAAATTTGATTACTTAGAGCAGGCCTTTGAGATATGCGTAACACCAAAATGTGTATTTACTGCTTCGAGTGGCCATATTTTAAAATAAAAACATTCAGCTGCAGCCACATGGAGGAAACAAAGATTAGAGTCACGCGTACCAAAGGTGGGCGCAGGTTAAAGTTGCCGTGTGACCTCAGCCCGTGCTCCCGACGTGAGGGCTCGTAATCTTCTGCCTCATCTTTGTGCATGTCAGGATCATACATGAGTGGAAACCTTGGTCTTGGTGAAGGTCCTGGTGTCGTCTCTTTGTCCCAGTCATAGAATCATAGAATCACGGACTGGTTTGGGTTGGAAGGGACCTCAAAGATCATCCAGTTCCAACCCCCCTGCCATGGGCAGGGACACCTTCCACTACACCAGGTTGCCCAAAGCCCCATCCAACCTGGCCTTGGGCAGTCCATGTCCTCTTTCACTCCTCCTCTTGCCATGCTGCCTGTGAAGCAGCTTGCCCAGTGTGCCTGAAATCTGGGGAGAGACATCCAGCTGCTGAAATCTGAGATACACCCACTTTCGGTGATTATTCATGGGTGCAACAGGAGACTCATGTTTTACAAACCTTCCTCCGCTAAATTTCAGCTCCTTCACTAACAAGAGCTTTTCTGTGTGTCCAAGATTTCTGAATAGATGCAAAACAATGTATTTTTTTACTAGACTTTTTCCCGAAAACACATTTGGCATTAAAACTCCGAAAAATGTAAGCCACCAAAACCAGTTTTGCAACAAAACTGGCAGGCATTGCAAGAAATGTGCCTTCTGTGTAATACATAAGCACTGGGATAGTGTATGTGTTGGGAATTGGGTATGATGATAAAGATTATCTGTAATTCCTGGGAGTTCATTTCTGTCCCATTAATAATTACTTACAGTCACCATAAAAAAGAAGGTGATTTTGCACAAACCTTTTGCTTTCTGTTACGGTAGAAAGACTGTTGCTTCTGTGGATTTAATCCTAATGTATCTCAGGTGGAGCCATGCTGCCAGAAAGCTGTTATTTTAAAGGTTTGGAAT